TTCCTTTCCAGCTCTCTGCTTGTGCCTGGGAAAGCAGTCAAGGATGGCCCAATGCCTTGAGACTCAGCATCTGCATGGGAGACCTGAAAGTGGCTCCTGGCTTTGGAACAGTTCATCTCTGGATGTTGTGGCTGCTTGGGTTGTAAATCAGCAGCAGGAAGATCTTCCTCTCTGTCTCTCCTCTCTGTATATCTACCTTTCCAATATAAATAAATATTTTCGAAAAAACGTTTTACTTACTTAAAAGGCAGAATTACAGGGAGAGCGAGGTTTTCCATTTGCAAGTTCAGTACCTAAATGGCTATAATGACCAGGACTGGGCCAGGCCAAAGCTAGAAGCCCAGAAAATCTTTGGGGTCTCCCACATGATTGGTAGTGGCTCATGTAATCTCTCCTTCCTCTGCTGCTTTCTCAGATGCATTATAGGTACCAGAGTCAGAAACAAAATTCAGGGACTTAAAATGGTACTCATATGGGATACAGACATCACAAGCAGTGGCTTAATCCACCATACCGCAGCAACAGCCCCAAGAAATCATTTTCTAAAAATCCTCTCTACTAGCTAAATGTTAACTATAGTTGTCCTAACTGTGCAACATTTTCCCTATCTAAATGTACCCCTGTATCCATAAATCATCCTCTCTCCTGTCCCCACTCCCCAGCCCCACTCCACACACCCTTCACAGGCCCTGCTAATCATTCTCTATTCTCTACTTTTATGAAATCAACTTTTTACATTCCACAGGTGGGAACAGGTGATGTTTTGTTGCTGTTCCTGACATTTCACTTAACCTAATATCCTCTAGTTCTATTCATGATGCTGCAAATGGCAGGATTTCATCCTTTTTAGGCCTAAGTGACCTTCTCTTGTGTGTCTAGATGCCCTTTTTTCATTATCTGTTCATCTGTTGGTAGACTCCTAGATTGATTTCAAATCTTGGCTATTGCAAATAGTGCTGCAGTAAACATGGGAGTATGTACTGACATATTGAATTTACTTCCTTTGGATGTACACCCAACAGGGATTGTGGGATCACATGGCAGTTTTGTTCAGTTTTTTTAAGAGCTCCATATTGTTTTCCATATTGGCTGTACTAAGTTATATTCTCACCAGCGGAGTCACCCTTCCCCTGTGTCTTTGACAGCATTCATTGTCTTTGATATTAGCAATTCTGATAATAATGAGATGATATTTGTTATGGTTTTGATATTTATTTCCCTAATGATGGAGGATATTAGCATTTGTCTCACATGTTTTTGGCCATATGTGTATTTTCTTTTGAGAAATGCTTATTCAGATAATTTTCCCATTTTTAAAGTCATATTATTTGGTCTTGAGTTGCTGGGTTTTTTATTTCCTTCTGTATTCTAGTTATTAATCCCTTGTCATATGAATAATGTTCAAATAATATCTCCTGTTGCCCAAGTTATGTCTTTGCTCTATCGATTGATTCCTTTACTGTGGAGAAAATTTCTGGTTTTGGATAATCCCTTTCACGTATTTTTACTTAAAAATTTTTGTTAGACAAAGAATACTCCCATCTACTGGATTCACATTCTTTAATGGCCACATGTGGACCCGGCCAAAGCTGGGAGCCAGTAATTCAATTGAGGTTTCCTGTGTGGGCAGCAGGAACTCAGTTACTTCAGCCACACTGCTTTTGACAGAACGCTAAATTCAGCAGCTGTCGCTTGGTATTGAACCAAGGCACTGTGATACTGAGTGCAAGCATCTTCTCCGGCATCTTAATCACTAAGTTAAATACCTGCCCCACTTTGTGCTTTTTTTTTTTAATTTATTTGTTTTTATTGGAAGGACAGCTTTATAGAAAGGAGGAGAGACAGAGAAGATCTTGTGTCTGTTGATTCACTCCCCAAGCAGCCACAACAGCACCAATCTGAAGCCAGGAGCCCAGAGCCTCCTCCGGGTCTCCCATGCGGGTGCAGCCACAGTGTTAGTTCCTTATTTTCACTTTTGTTTACTGTGATTTAAAAAAATTTTTTTTAAAGATTTTTCTTTTTAATTGGAAAGTCAGTATCACACAGAGGAAGGTCTTCTACCCGTTGGTTCACTCTCCCAAGTAGCTGCAAGGACCAGAGCTGAGCCAATTTGCAGTCAGGAGCCAGGAGCTGCTTCTGGATCTCCCACATGGGAGCAGGGTCCCAAAGCTTTGGGCTGTCCTTGATTGCTTTCCCAGGCCACAAGCAGGGAGCTGGATGGGAAGTGGAGCTGCCGGGATTAGAACTGGCACCCTTGTGGGATCTTGGTGCATGCAAGGAGAGGACTTAAGCTGCTAGGCTACCACTCTAGGCCCAAAAGTCAGTGATTTTTTTTATGTTGTTTTTTGTTTCCTGCATTTTTATCAAATAATTAATCAATTCAAATAGTGGATTTTTATTTTTACATCTATTAGTTTTCTGTATTTAAAATTTTGTCATTTGTAGTTAGGAAATTCTGACCTCCTTCTGTCCCATTTACGTGCCTCTACTTCTTTCCCATGCCTTATTGCTCTGAATTCCAATACTGTATTAAATTAAAGTGGTAAGACATTTTTATCTTGTTTTTGATCTCAAAAAAAATGAAATTAGGTGTTCCCTATTCAGTATGATGTTGGTTATGCATTTGTCAAGTAATCTTTTTGTTATAGGTGTACACTCCTTCTATATCTCATTTTTGAAAGGTTTTTTTGTTTGTTTATTATCATGGATGGATGTTTGCTTTGACTGAATCTTTTTCTGTATCTAATGAGATAATCATGTTTTTTCCCCTGCATTCTGTAATGTGTTATGCTTATTGATTTGAGTGTGTGATTGTATGCCTGTATCCCCGGGATAAATCCTCCTTTAACGTGTTGGATAGTCTTTTCTCTGTGTTGTTTGATTCTGTTTGTTAGTATTTTGTTGAGGTTCTTCCACCTCTTTTCACTGGGGATAATGATCTAAAGTTTTCTTTTTTTGTTACTCTGACTTTTGTATCAGAGTAATGTTTGCTTCCTAGATTGAATCTTTTTTTTTTTAATGTGTTTTATTTTTTTATTAAAAAAACAGATTTAGGGCCCGGCGCGGTGGCGCAAGTGGTTAAAGGTCCTCGCCTTGCACGCCCGGGATCCCATATGGGCGCCGGTTCTAATCCCGGCAGCCCTGCTTCCCTTCCAGCTCCCTGCCTGTGGCCTGAGAAAGCAGTCGAGGACAGCCCAAAGCTTTGGGAACCTGCACCCGCATGGGAGACCCGGAAGAGGCTCCTGGCTTCGGATCGGCATAGTATCGGCCGTTGCGGCTCACTTGGGGAGTGAATCATCGGACGGAAGATCTTCCTCTCTGTCTCTCCTCTCTGTATATCCGCCTTTCCAATAAAAAAAATAATAAAAATAAATCTTTAAAAAAAAATAAAAAAGCAGATTTACAGAGAGAAGGAGAGACAGAGAGAAAGATCTCCCATCTACTGGTTCACTCCCCAAGTGGCCACAATGGCCAGAGCTGAGTTGATCCAAAGTTAGGAGCCAGGAGCTTCTTCCAGGTCTCCCACATGAGTACAGGGTCCCAAGGCATTAGACTGTGCTCAACTGCTTTCCCAGGCCACAAGCAGGGAGCTGGATGGGAAGTGGAGTAGCTGGAACATGAACTGGTGCCCATATGGGATCCTGGCACGTGCAAGGTGGGAACTTTAACCACTAGGCTATCACACCAGGCCCCCTAACTTGAATCTTGAAGTGTTCCCTCCGCCAACTTCTTTTTTAATTTTTAAACGTATGTCAGTTTGTTTGTTTTTAATTTGAAAGGCAGAGTTAAAGAGAGAGTGACACAAAGAGAGATCTTCCCTCGCTGGTTTATTCCACAGATGGCTACAAAGGCCAGAGCTGAGCCAAACTGAAGCCAGGAGCCAAGAGGTTCTTTAGGGTCTCCCATGTGGGTGCAGGGGCCCAAACACTTGTGCCGTATTCCACTGCTTTTCTAGCCCGTAAGCAGGGAGCTGGATGGGAAGTTTAGCAGGCAGGACACAAACTTTTACCCATATGGATGCCAGCACTGGAGGCTTAATCTTAGCCTTCTATGCCATTAGCACCAGCCCCTGAACAATTCTTTAGTTTGTTAAAGTGTAGCCCTTGGTCCTTCTATCTGTGTGGTTTTGCTGGGTTCAGTCTGCCCATCAGCTCTCAGGGTTTGATGTCATGCTTATAGCTTCCCCAGCTAGAGTTGCACTGGTGGCTGTATATAGTTCTAGAATCTCAATAGTTGCTCCAAACCAAATACTGCATGAGCCATTGCGCTAGGGAGAGCTCTGTTCATTGGTACCAATCCTATGTCAATTCTCTGCCTGGGTCCCCAGGCCATCCACAGCATCCTCTGAAATCTAGGTGGTAGCTGCTTTGGCCCCATATCTCTTGAGGGAATTGACACCTACAACTGCAACGGGCTGTGTGCAAGCTAAAGGCCCTGAGATGCCAATTGCATGGCTCAGTCTAAATCTTGAAAACCTCGGTTTGAGGTAAGCCAGTTGTATAATTCTCAGTCTGAGGATGAGGGTATGAGAATCTAGGGGTCCACCCGTGTAAGTCCTGGAGTCCAAAGATTTTCACAGTCCCAGTGGAAAGAGAATAAATTACATTTCCTCTGCCTTTCTGCTCTGTAAGAGTCCCCAGCTGCCTGGCTGGTGCCCTCTCACATAGAGGGTGGATCACTTACTGACTTAGACACTTGTTTTTTTCTGGAAACACCCTCTTGATACAGAAGTAATGCTGTACTGGTCCTCTAAATATTCCTTAACCTGGTCAAGATGACACCTAAAATTAACCATCACTGCTCCCAACAGCTGTGGTAAAGGCTGGAGAAGAGACTTTACAACCCTTTGTTGGTACCCTAAGGATGAGATCTTTAAATGCTGCTGGCAGTTGGAAAGAGCCCCATGAGTTAGCGTTGGCCTCCCAGGGCTGCCCACCGTGGGATCTGGCTGAGGAGGCTCAGCCCAGTGTTCTCAGATTTCTCCCTTTTCTCTATTACAGTTCCTACAGTTGATGGATTACGCCATGTGGTGGTACCAGGGAGGCTGTGTCCACAGTTTCTCCAGTTAGCCAGTGCCAACACTGCCCGGGGAGTAGAGACCTGTGGAATTCTCTGTGGAAAACTGGTAAAAAACCCAAACTCTTTCCTAAGCTGTTTGGGCTTCTGTGACTCTCAGAAGAGATCCAGGGTCAGTTACTGTTTGCGCCAGTCCCTCTGCTGATGGAACCATGGCCTGCAAAATGCATTGAATTTTGTGACCCTGCTCTGACTGATTTTCAAGTCCCTTGAACTGAACTGGTTAGTTTAGAAATGCCTTATTGTTGGTAGGAAAGTCCACTTCTTACCTGTGGAGCCTGTTTTAAGCATCCACTTCATGGTAGGACCTGTATATAAAATATATAAGGATATATCCATAAAGAAGCAACCAGTAATCTGGGAAAGATGGAAGGCATACAAGAAGTGATTAACAGTGTGCTGAATGAATGTATAATATGAGCACTAGGAACCCTGAGGAAGGAAGGTCACTAAATGGAGGCTCTTAAGGAATATATTTCTTAACTGCTGAATGAATCAGTGAGTGAAGCAGACCTTAACCTGAGCCTTAAAGGATGAGAAGGACTTGAGGAAACAGTGGTAGAGAAGCTGTTTGAGATGTGAACGGAAGAAGAGACGTGGTTCTCTGCCCAGAGCTTCTCAAGGACCTGGAATAGCCCCATTGGGCTGCAGGAGGAGATTCGCACAGGACTGGGGTGGCTCTCGTCTCTGTTGCTTTCCCCAGACTGTTTGCATGAGTAGCTCAGGTGGTGAGCTGCTGAGGTGAGGATTACGGGGAAATAAAAAGAGATTCATGATGGGAAAGTGGAGGGCCTTGTCTCATATGGATGTTGAACTCTGCGTTGTAAGACCGGAGTGGTCTGTGAAAGTTCCAGGGAATGTGACAAGTTGTTTTCTCCTTTGACAGATGAGGAATGAGTTTACCATCACCCATGTGCTCATCCCCAAGCAAAGTGCTGGGTCTGATTATTGCAACACAGAGAATGAAGAAGAGCTGTTCCTCATCCAGGATCAGCAGGGCCTCATTACACTGGGCTGGATCCACGTAAGCGAGCTGAGCACTCGGGGGCTGTCTCCTGCGCTCTCACCGCACTCATTGTGCTTATTTCCTTTGAACAAAGCAAATATAGCCAGATTATTCAATGATTTCTCCTCCTTCAGATGCGGCTTTTAACATTGTTAACTGCTTGCACTCCTATGTTGATTTCTGGCAGCTATCTGCAGCTTTTTCATTTTTAAACTTTTATTTATTTTTAAATAAAAATAGTTTCCTTCTGAGTATGAATGGTAATAGGATAGTGACCTAGAGTATGTGTGCGCATTGACTACAGGGACTGCCTACTGCATACAAATGTTCCTGAAAGGTATATAGATCAGAATGTTTTAAATGTGTCAAGGATGTTTTCATCTCATCTTTCTTAAAGCAGCATATATATAAACCAGAAGGGTCAACAACATGTAACAGATCTCTGCATATCATGCACATCTTCCAGTAGTCAGGTACAGGTGAAGTAAAATTCATGTCAGTCTTCTTTTTCTTTAATATTTGTTTATTTATTCGAAAGCTACAGAGAGAGCAGGAGAGACAGAGAGAGAGATCTGATTCATTCCCCAAATGGTCTAATCAGCTGGGACTGGCCCGGACAGAAGCTAAGAACCAGGTACTTCTTCCAGGTCTCCCATGTCACTGGCAGGGCTCCAAATATGTGAGCATCTTGCGTTGCTTTCCCAGGTCATTAGCCTGGAGCTGGATCAGAAGTGGAGCAGCCAGAACTGGAACCAGTGCTCATATGGGATGGCAGTGTCACAGGCAGCAGTTTTACTGGCTATGTCAGAACACCACTCCCTAGTGTTGACCTAATGTCAGTGGGTTTATCCCCACTCTGGTGTATGACTGAATATGTTTTACACCCATTGAGCCCATGGAGGAGATGTTGAAGGGCAACTTTGATTTAGTCCAGTTCTGGCTAATGCAGACATTTGAGGAGTGAACCAACAGTCTTTCTCTATCTATCTCTGTGTCTCTCTGCCTTTCAAAACAAATTTCTTTCTCATGAGAGATATTTCCAGGACTATGGCAGAGATGTCTGTGTGTTTGACAAACTCCTCAGAAGATTCATTTTTTTGTACTGCAGATAGGAAAATACTAGTCAATTACACTTGTTTAATTTCTGTGCTTTTCTTTCAGTGAAAATCTGTGGTGTTTTGAGTCAAAATGGGTCCTGCTTTTTTTCATTCTTTTTACTTAAGATCTTATCCTCAGGCCTGGCACAGTAGCCTAGCAGCTAAAGTCCTCACCTTGCATGCACCAAGATCCCATATGGGCGCTGGTTCTAATCCTGGCAACCCCACTTCCCATCCAGCTCCCTGCTTGTGGCCTGGGAAAGCAGTCGAGGACAGCCCAAAGCCTTGGGACCCTGCACCTGTGTGGGAGACCTGGAAGAGGCTCCTGGCTCCTGGCTTCGGATTGGCTCAGCCTCAGCCGTTGCGGCCACTCGGATTGTGAATCATTGGACGAAAGATCTTCCTCTCTGTCTCTCATGTCTGTATATCTAAAAACAAACAAAAAAAATCATACCCTCTCTAAGATGAATGACTTATATGAAAGAAAGTCTTTTATGTGTTTAAAAAAAGTGTTTAATGTAACATAAAGTACAGGCAGGATTTAGCCTAGCAGTTGAGGTACCTCTAGGGTGCGTGCATCTCCTGTCATGGTACCTGGGTCTGATGCTCAGCTCTGGCACACTCTGCTAATGTAAATCCTAGGACATAGTATCCAGATGATTGGGTTCCTGCCACGCACTGCGAGACCTGGACTGAGTTCCCAGCTTCTGGCCTTGGGTCCCAGCCAACATCCGCTTGTTAAGGACACTTGGCAGTGAACCAGCAGACATTAATTTGTCTCTCTCCCTACACCTCTAAAATAAATGAAATGTTAAAATACTTGGGGCTGGCATCATGGTATGGAAGGTAAAGCCACCATTCGCAGTGCCAACATCCTATATGGGTGCCAGTTCAAGCCCCCATTGTTGTACTTCCAGTCCAGCTTCCTGCTAATGGTCTGGGAAAGAAGCAGAGGATGGTCTAAGTCACTGCACCCATGTAGGAGACCTGGAATAAGCTTCTGACTCCTGGCTTTGGACCATGGTCTGGTACCAGCCATGGCAGCCGTTTGGAGAGTGAGCCAGCAGACAGAAGACTTCGCTTTCTCTGTCTCGCTTTCTGTTTCTATAACTCTGCCTTTCACATTAAAACATATCTTTTTAAAAAAGATTTATTCTGCTTATTTTTAAAAAAGATTTATTGATTTTTATGGGAAAGTCAGATATACAGAGCAGAGGAGAGACAGAGAGGAAGATCTTCCATCTAATGATTCACTCCCCAAGTGAGCGCAACGGCCGATGCTATGCTGATCCAAAGCCAGGATCAAGGAACTTCTTTCGGGTCTCCCACACAGGTGCAGAGTCCCAAGGTGTTGGTCTGTCCTCGACTGCTTTCTCAGGTCACAAGCAGAGAGCTGGATGGGAAGTGGAGCTGCCAGGATTAGAACCGGCGCCTGTATGGGATCCCGGGGCATTCAAGGCGAGGACTTTAGCTGCTTGGCCACACCACCAGGCCCAGATTTATTCTGTTTATTAGAAAGTCATATATACAGAGAGGAGGCGAGACAGAGAGGAAGCTCTTCCATCCAATGATTTACTCCTCAAACGGCTGCAACAGCCAGAGCTGCACTGGTCCAAAGCCAGGAGCCAGGAGCCTCCTCTGGGTCTCCCATGCAAGTGGAAGGTCCCAAGGCTTTGAGTTATCCTTGACTGCTTTCCCAGATCGTAAGCAGGGAGCTGTATGGGAAGAGGGGCTGCCGGGGTTAGACTGGTGCCCATAAGGGATCCTGATGCAAGCAAGGTAAAGATTTATCCACTAACTACCACACCTGGCCCAAAAATATGTTTTTTTCTCTTTATTTATTATTATTAAATAAAGTATCATTTGTAGGGTGGGTTTGGAAGAAGCATATTCTTTTAACTTTTCTTTACTGTGGAAGAATTGTATTTCGTTTTCAAACAAAGGGAAGCTTTGCTGGATGCATTACTCTGGGCTGACAATTTTTTGCTTTTAGAATCTGGAATATGTTGCTCCGTTCTCTTCTTGCCTGTAGAGTTTCCTGTGAGAGGTCTCCTGTGAATTTAATTGCCATTCCTCTATATGTCAGTTGATTTTTTTTCATGTGCACATTTAAGGATCATTTCCTTATGTTCAATTGAAGAGAGCTTGATGATCATATGTCGTAGTGAAGATCACTTTTGGTCAAGCCTGTTGGGAGATCTGTGCCCCTCCTGGATGGATGTTGTTTCCCAATTCTTTCTCTAGATTAGGGAAGTTTTGCTTTATTATTTCATGAAATACATTTGTAAGCCCAGCTTCTTTTTTGCACCTTCTGCAACTCCCATAACTCTTATATTTGGCCTTTTAATAGTGTTTCTTAATTCTTGAATACATTTTTTTACCTTGACCCAACTCTGCTTCCAGGTTTTTGTTTGTTTCCCCCTGGTGACAGGAAATATCTTCCAATTCTTAGATTCTTCTGCTTCATTCATTCTATTTTGGAGACTTTCCACTGTACTTTTAATTCACTCCACTGTATTCTTAATTTCTGATATATCAATTTCATTTGATTCATTTCCTGTGTGACATATTCCTTGAATTCCTGCTTTATGTGCTTCTCATTGTTGATAAGAAACTTTATAACAGGGTTTTGAACTGTGTATCCCCCATTTTCTCAATGTCTTCCTCAGTTAACTCTGAGTTTGGCAAAGGGTTTTGCTCCTTTGCAGGGGAGTCTTCAGTAATATTCATTGTGCTTCTGTCTCTTCTTTTGCTCTTGATCATTGTTAGGAGGTTCTTCTCCTTGGGGTAGGTTTCCCAGCTGTGTCACCGACAGGTCTACAGTTTGATTTTAGCTATTAGCTATGCTGTTCTCCCACCCTCAGTACCCAGGACACAGGTGTGCTTTCCTGGCTATAGCTCCCACAAGCACAGTCTCCTCACCTACACTGCCCTCATCTTTTTTCCATCCCTGGTATCTGTCTCTTGTCTCCATGCTGAGACAGAGCCCCCCCCCCCCATCTCCAGGTCAACTAAGACTCCACATCCAGGCCATGCATCTTCACTCTGCAGGCAGAATTCACCACAGTGTCCTGCCTGTATGGGACACAGGACACAGCCAGCAGTTCACATGAACTGTATTGGTGGTACTGTGCTTCTTCATACCTTGCCGGGTAAATGGTGTCCAATCCCATTCACCCACTGCCTTGCTGCTAGCCCTGGTCCTCAAAGCTCTGCAGCCTGCAGCAGCCCTCTATCTAACCAGGAATTCCAGCCCTGTTCAGCCTGCCAGGCCTCAGAACCAGTGCACAAAAGTTCCTGTTTTGAATTTTCCAGGTAGAGTTTCTCCCCTGTGTTTACTGCCTCTGTCTCCTGTGAGTGTTCAGATTGCCTGAATGCTGTTATCCTCCCGTGGTGTGAATCAACTAGTTTCATCCCTTTCTCTCCTCAGTTTCCTGTTAGGCTCAGCCCTGGGTCCCTCTAAGTGATCCCAATTGGAGACCACTATGCTCAGTGAAATAAGCCAGTCCATATATTATCTCTAATATAAGGCAACCTTCATGCAAAATATAAAACAAATAGATGTATAGATAAATTAGTATATAAACAGATTCTCATAGATGAACCATATAATGGAGACTAACATACTGACAAGCAAAGGTACATTGCAATATACATCTCTACGCCAAAATAAAGGAAGGACTCCCAGTGAAACTGTTAAAGATAACTTGATAGTTTCATACTAGGTTTTCTGTCATTGCATATACGTACAATGCCGTGATACACTTAAACAGCAGAGTTTTGGACTTATGAATGTTGCTGAAGGACTATATTATTGTAATAATATATGGGGAAATGGTGGGGAGAGATAGGAAGGGAGAGAATCCCTACACCTGTAACATTGTATCTTGGAAAATAATAATAACAAAAATGTTTTTAAAGGGAAAAAAAGATACCCATAAAAATAAAATTAAAAAAAGAAGGTGAGGAGTGATTTGGGAATGGTTGTGGGTTTTCTTGGATTCCACCTGTGAACTGTGACAGGATGCACTCACCCCAGTTGAAGATTAACTTTGCTTGATATCAACCTTTCTGCCCCTTACACTAAACTACGTGCAGAATCCTGGAATTAGGGTTCTGTGCAGTGTGTGTGAAGAAATCTCTAATAAAGCCATGCCCCCTGTCCTGAAGCAAATCTTCCCCACCCCCAGGGTGGCATCACCCCACCACTGCTCTACAAACCTTACCTGCTGAGTAACGATGTCCTTAGTTACTCTCATCCTCTTCCCCTTGCTCATATGTTCCTTACTGCAGACAGCGCTTCCAGTTGCCAAAATCTGCTTAATCTCTTTATCTCTATGTGCTCTTTTATTCATTTTATTCCTTGTTTTCTATGAATTGATAATGGGAGCATTTTTTATCTTTATTGACAAATACAATATATAGACATATGGTATATGACACATTTTCTATTTTGTTAAAATTGGCATGTAATACTTGTACTTATTTATGGGGAATGGTTTAAAATAGGTGTATGTGGTAGAGTGGCTAAATTAAGATAATTAACATATGCATTACTTCCCACACTTCTCTGCGGTGAGAATGCGTAGAAGCTCGTCTCAGTTCCAAGTATATAATACTTTGATATTAGCTACAGTCAACATATTGTTCATCTCTTGAACTTAAGAAAAAGGAAAGTGTTACTCTCTTTACATACTCCTGTTAGACTAGTTTCCAGTGCTCAGAAGGAATGTCCTTCCTGTGCCACTTATTCCCCTCGTGGTTGCTGGTGGCTTTATACTTGCGGCCTGGTCCAGCTGTGGAGATTGGCTTATCTCTGCCTTCCTCCTGAAGCAGGCTGGCTGTCCTCGCCGAGAGTCCTCTGACTTCGTTTTCTCTTCACAGACCCATCCCACCCAGACCGCCTTCCTCTCCAGTGTTGACCTGCACACGCACTGCTCCTACCAGATGATGTTGCCGGAATCCATAGCCATCGTCTGTTCCCCCAAGTTTCAGGAGTGAGTCCACAGGATACAGCCCTGGGTTCCATGGAGAAACCAGAGGAAAGGTCTCCATAAAATAGATTGTATGAGTTGGCCATTTTGAAAGGCTTCCTTTTAAGCCCCATATCCTGATAAACCTTCCGTGCTGATTTAAAATATACACAATGACTTAGTGACTTTTGCAAAAAACAGATTGGCAAGAAATTTGAAGTGTTTGACATGAAGCAATGAGAAGTGAAAGTTTTGTATTTGATGTTGGGTTAAAGAGATTCAAAATCAAACAGATTATCTCAAGTGTTACTTCTTTTTCCTTCCAAGTCTTATTATTTACTGTGAATTCTCCCAGCAAAACAATGTGGTAGAAATGATGACTCATTCTCTAACTGATTTATTCACCAGGGGAGAGACCTTTAAGCCAGTGTGCTGATTCTCTTGCAAAATGATCTTTTACGTGAGCATGTATGCCATGTATGTATGTGTGTGTATGTGTGTGTGTGCACGTGTACATGGAATTGATAGGATATTATACCTTGGCTTACTCTGAATCTGCCTGCTCTTATTTCAGAACTGGATTTTTTAAACTAACTGATCATGGGCTAGAAGAGATCTCTTCCTGTCGCCAAAAAGGATTTCACCCTCACAGCAAGGATCCACCTTTGTTCTGTGTATGTATCTATTTAGCAGAAATTGGAGCTGTGTTTCTACCAACAAGGACAGTCTGGACTGCCAAGGCTTGATATTCTCTCACTTTTTTAGAGCTCAGTCTTCTGTGTTGTCCTTCCCCATCTCCAGCACGCTGTGCGTGGAGACAGTGTGGGATCGGAGTAGCCGTGACGCTAGTGATGACTGTGTGTGTCTGCGATTGGGCCCTGCACCCCTCTGGGGTTCAGCTTTCTCAGGTGTAGAATGGAGATTATAGCTGAGAAAGTTAAATGAAAGCATGTACAGTGTGTACCTGCTGTGATAGCTGCTTGTTAAATGTCAATATTTCTCTTCATCACTGTCAGTGACTAAGCCTGTTCTTCAATAAGAGATTTGATTGCAAAAGAAGAAAGTCACTTAAAACAGGTAAATTGAGCACACTTGATTCTGGAGTTTTGTTTAGGTAAGAGGGTTGTTATGATCATCGCAGGAAGTGAGGGTTTTTTTTTCCCTCAAAAGTTGTGTTCTGTGAATAAAATGTTTAGTTGATGATAAGATCACTGTTTCAATTCAGCCATTAAATCTGACCGTGATGCTTTCCTCCGTGTTGGCCATGGAGTATGACTATTTTGGACAGGGGCGGGGCACAGTTTAAGGAAAAGTGACCAGTACAGGAAAGGAAGGAATCAGAATCTGTCACTAAAAGGAACTGGGGGTGTTTAGAAGAGATACCCCAGGAAGAGTCTGAGAATTCCAAGGGTTAGAAGAGTTGAGGGATGAAAATGGTATTGGGTGTTTTCAGCCATATATAGGGAAGCACTGTCTGACCAGTCCATTCACAGATAGATTGGTCTGCATTAAAGTGTAATAAATGTCCAGTACCAGGATGTTACACCGGAAACTGCACAATGAGAGAAAGTCTGGGACACCAGTGCTCAGGTTTTCAGTAACAAAGACCCTTTTTCAATCCTGAAGTGAGCATTCTCCTATGTGTTGGTGGGTGTGCTTTATTATCTGACCCATGTAATGATCCAAAAAGGTGCAGTGAATTCAGTGGTTTTGTGAAATAATGCATATTTTAAGAACAACCCTGTTTGCTTCCAAATTTTGGCACCAGGACCACAAAGAATGGTCCTGAAATAAACATTTCAAAGCAGAACAGAGATATAAGGGCCAACATCTATTCAATTATGTGGGGTGGGTTAGTGGAAATACTAGTTCCCAGGCCCTTTAACCATAGCTGCTACTTGAGTAGCAGTCTGGCCTTCACCCTGGGAACCACTGGCCTAGGATAAGCACTTAACACCAGGGTTTTCTCTCTTTCCCTGTTGCAGAGCTGCAGCCACGTGACTGTCGTGGACAGAGCCGTGACCATCACAGACCTTCGATGAGACACCTCTAAGAACCAGAGAGCACATCAGTGTACTGCAGCCCCCTCCTTTAAGCTTTCCAGGGAGAGAACTTTGGAAGCTTTTCTTAGAACAGAAAGTAGGGGGCATCAGCTGGGAGAGAACTGATTTTCTGTTTTTGTTTGAAAAGAATTAATTGGAGCATATTTTCTAAGCAAGTCTGAAAAAGCATGACCATACTAAAGTAATTGTAACCCAAAAATTAAGTTGGAAAACAGGTATAACGGACACCCATATACACTTTCTTCTAGATTCTCCAGCTAACATTGTTTTCCTCTCAATGATTCTTCTAATTTATCTGCCAACTTGTTCTTTACTTTAGGACTAAATCAGGGCATCTTTGCAGAGATTTGGAAGCCATTTAGGAAATGACTGGAGTTTTTCTGTGCTTTCTGGGCATGTCAATGAAGTTGCTATGTGAGGGACTGCTCCCGCTATCCATCCAGACGGGGAGACTGACAACCCCTGAAGGGTGATTGTTTTCAGGAATCGTTTATGTAACAAATGTTTCAGGATATTTTTCTTCTACAATAAAATAACATTTAACTTACGCTTATGTTCTAGAGTGATCCATCTGTATCATAGAAACAGGGTTAAATTGGAAGTTGTGGGAAAGGGGAGCAGAACATGGAGTTTGAGATGGGCTGACATCTAAGGTGAGCCCAGTTCACTCCTCATTGTTCACTGTTTTCTCTCTGCCTGTTGTGATCTTCCAGGGGTATGAAGTCGTTGCTGTTCTTTTGGTGCTCCCTCAAGTGGCTCATCCCATTCGCCTCCTCCTCGTGCCCTGCGAGCTTTTGGTGCTCCCTCAAGTGGCTCATCCCATTTGCCTCCTCCTTGTGCCCTGCGAGCTTTTGGTGCTCCCTCAAGTGGCTTATCCTATTCGCCTCCTCCTCGTACCCTGCGAGCTTTCAGCGGCAGATGATGGAGCCTTTATGTGGAGAAGCAGGTTATACTGAAAACAGATGATTACACTCCCTTACCACCCCACCCTGCTAATTCCCCTGTGTTGCTTTTTCTTTTCTGACTTAGGCAGCACGTAGGACGGTGTTTGAAGTTGCATTTGGTCCTGTATTTTTCTTTCAGTGAGCTGGTCCTAGTGTTCCAGGGTAGCACAGAAACAGTAGTGTTATTTGTTACTTCTTCTGTGAGGGCAAGAGAGTAAATCCTTTGGAGAGAGAAATTATTTCTTTTTGTAGTAGAATTTCAGCAAAGAGGGTGGAGGAAAGGGTATGTGACATCTTGAAGTTTTGCTTGATTTAAAATATTTTCTGTATTGAGTATGTCTCATCTTTATTGCTTGGGCTGATGGTTCTGTAAGCATCCACCTGAAAGAGCCAAGTCTCCCATTCTTATTTTCTTCTCTTGGGTTAATTCCCAGGATAAAGGGAAACTCCTTGGCATGGATTGAAATAGGAGGCCACGTGGGTTTGGGCTTTGGAAAGAGTTCCCAAAGGAACTGTGTGCTGTGGCCGAGAGGCAGCCTGGCTGGCCCCTCTCCCCCGCCCTCAGCAGTTCTGAAAATGCCCACTCTTGCACTTGAACCAAGAAGACTACCCTCTTCTCTCCATTCTCTGGGCCACCTCTTGGTTTAGGTCTTTCTGGCCCTTCCTGTGGACTACTGCATAAGCTTTTGCTCCCTCTCTCGGTGTTTAGTGTTTCTTCATTCCAGTCTGTCCTGTACACTGTGATCAGCAAAAGCCTCCTGCGTGATGGCCATCACATGTCTCCTCCCTTGTTCAAAGCCCTGCAGTAGCATTCCATTGCCTACGGCCTCACTTTAGCCTTTACTCAGAACTTGGCACTTAATATCCACAGAAAGTTCTTAACTGTGGCTACACATTCAAATACCTGCAACACTTTCTAAAAGATCCTGGTGCGTGCCCCACCCCACACCAATTGCATCTGAATCTCTGGACTGTGCTGCCAAACTTTATTTTTGTTTTGTCTTAACCATTAAAGCTTCTGGGCTTCTTAGTAGCAGCCAGGATTGAAAACCACATCACCAGGCATTTGTACTGAAGACTCACAAGCTCTCATCAGTCTGCACATAGAGACATTCAGCAAATGTCTCTTCAAAGTAATGGATGTATCAGACACTGCAAGTCTTGTCATCACTGACTGATTACCTAAGTGTCCTTGAGCACAAGATGTCTTAGTGACTCAGTGGGCACAGGGAATCTGCCACAGTGTAGCCACAGAGGCACTCTGGGAGTATTTCAATGTCTCTCTCCCTCCCTGTCATACTCCTGGGGAAGAGGATGAGGTGATATTGAGCCAACCCACCAGGCAAGCAGGAAGACTGGATAGGCTAGTGGGACAAAGCAGGAATAGAGCAGTAAGGAAAGGAAGAAGTAAAGGAAAGGGACTTAGAACATGAAACCTGGCGAAAGTGGGTACTCTTGATAGGGTAAGAATTTCTGGGCTGAAGAGAATGATTCCTGTGCTCCCGTACCTCACAGGTCAGGAGGTTTTCTGCTCTCCCAGATTGCACAGTGTCATATTTAGTAGTCTGGGCTGAGGCAGAAGACAGAAGTGGTGTCTTCGTGTATCTCAGTAAGTGAGCCTCCAGTACCATCAGTTGGGTGGCAGAATGGTGGTTAAGGAGCCTCTTTGATGATGGTTAGGGCAGGGTTTCCAGACAATCCATTCCACATTCTCCTGATTACAGGGGCTAGAGTGGAAGAAGAAGTTCTGGGGCCTTTATAATGCCGTTCTGAACACCAGACTCCTTACAAGGCAGCATGGGAGAAGCTGTCCCTAGTGGAGCCAACATCTTGGGGATTGTTTTTTGCTGGAGAGCCCAGGGTTTCACCTCTCCTTTGAATACCACGGGATTTAAACCCCTAAGTACCTTTCCCTTTTGAGCATGGATAACTTCTTAGGGATTTTGGCTATCTCAGTGGAAGGAGGAATGTTTCTTAGAGGGCGTAGGAGCAATGGAGACCCCTGAGAACAAAGTCTCAATGAGGTTAAGTCTGAAGAAGCCTGAGTAACCTTGGTTATTGTTCAAGTGGATTCCAAGTAGAGAAGGTGGTTCAAGAAGCAGTTATTTTTCTCCAGGAAATAGCTGAAGTCAGGCTTTGGTATTGTACTGCCCAGAGTTTTAACCCGCTGTGGTCTTGGGGCCCAGTATCTCCAGAATTGGTTATGTATGTGAGCCGGAGTGGGACAGCTGAGGTGTAGTCGTTTCCTCCTGTGAGGAGCTGTGCATGGGAGTGCTGCAAAGGTCTGTGCAGATCAGGATCACAGGAAGGTTTTCCTCTCCAGAGCCAGTGTCAGGATGGATATTTGGTATTCTGCTGGGGTTAGGCATTTGGCATTGCTGTCATGTGCACACTTGCCATACTGGAGTGCCCAGCTTTGAGTCTAGCTCTGCTCCCAGTTTCAGTTTTCTGTCGATGCATAGCCTAGAAGGTAGCAGCTGATGGCTCTACTAGTGGGGTCCCTACCATCCATATAGAAGACCCAGATGGAGTTCCAGGTAAGTCTGTTTCTAAGCTCAGCTGCTCATTTACCAAGGTTACTTAGCTTCCCGGACTTATAAAAAAATATAAAAAAAAATGTATGGATATAGGACTATACTATTGTAACAATATGGGGAAAATCAGTCTGGGGTGGATCCCAGATTTTGCAGAATTATACCATAAAATTCAAAATTAAAAATAAAATTGTAAAAATAGTATGGATCTCAAGAGTCCACCTCAAATGAGGTTAGTATGATATCTATATACAGATGATGCTTGGGAACTTGGAAAGATACTGTTAAGATTTAAAGGATTTCTTGCTGATCTCTAGAAATGTTTGGGTGGAGCGACTATTGTTTCTGTCTGCTGAGCCCCTGCCCAACATTGTTTATCACTTGTCTGTGTCTGATCTGCCTTGATGTTCTGAGCAGAAAATTGAAGCCCTTAAGAGTGACAAGGATCAGGCCCCTCATGATGGCTCAGTGACTAAAGACCTCACCTTGCAAGCACCGGGATCCCATATGGGCACTAGTTCACATACCAGTTGCTCCACTTCTCATCCAGCTCCCTGCTTGTAACCTGGGAAAGCAGTCGAGGACGACCCAAAGCCTTGGAACCCTGCACCCACATGGGAGACCCAGAAGAAGTTCCTGGCTCCTGGCTTCAGATTGGCTCAGCTCTGGCTATTACAACCACTTGAGGAGTGAGCTAGTGGATGGAGGATCTTCCTCTGTCTCTTCTTCTCTCTGAAAATCTTCCTTACCAATCAAAATAAATAAATCCTTTAAGAGGAAAGGGAAAAGTGACAAGAACCGTTCCAAACTTTTACACATTGTTGCTGAGACCCAGAGCACAGCCAGGACTCAGCAATGTGGTGCCATCTCTCTTTCCCTTTGGCTCAGCTTCACTCTATTTGAAAGGCAGAGTTACAGAGCACTCTCCAAATAGCATTAATGGCTGGGACCAGGACAGGCCTGGAAGTACATCTGGATTTCCCACCTAGGTAGCAGGGGCCCAAGCACCTAGGCCATGTCCCACAGCTTTTGTGGATACATTATCAGAGAGCTAGATTGAAAGTAGGCTTTGGAAGTAGAGCAGCCAGACTTAAACTGGCACTCACATGAGATTGGCCCTACATTCCACTGCCTAACCCATTGCACTACAGTGTCAGCCCTTCCACCTCACTTTTATTTAAGCTTCTCACTTTTGCCATTTCAATTACTTTTTTTTTTTTATGGAAAGAGGAGAAAAATAACTTTGACCCTCTTTGCTAGTCTTCACCCCTTAAGTCAGGATTTGATTTTTGGTTAATCTTGTCCTAGTGGAGGTTAGAAGTGGGACCATAAGCTTATCAGGAGTGCCCAGAATCACTCACTGAACCTGTTGGGTCCTGCTTCCAGCCCTGCACCCCTGCAGAACTCTGGGCTGTTGCATCCTGACATGGTCAGATCTGCTTCTCCTTGGGCTCAGCTTAAGTTCTGCCTTCTCTAATTCCTTCTGTCACTGACAGATTAACTCTGAGAGTTCCTTTCCTGAAATTCCAATGACATTTATGGCTGCTTTCCAACTGTTGTCTGTGTTTTGTTGTTTTTTTAGCTGTTTTTGCAGTGTTCTCTTATATGACTCATGTCTCTGAACACTCATATAAAAAAAGATCTGTTGTGGTTGGGGCCATATTTGCTTAATGCACTATGTTCACTGCCTTTCACTCCATGTAGCTTTTTCTTGTCACCGCGTCCTTGGTGTTGAATCATGTTAATGTTAGGAAGCCAGCTGGACAGGTGCTCCAATCCGTAGGAGGCATCACCCCCCACCCGGGAGAAGTCATCCCTGCTCAACTCAGCAGCGTGTGTTGGGTGTGAGTTCTTCTGGTTGCCAGGATAGATGGTTGGCTGCTTCACAGGCTCCTCTAAGGGTTAGCCAGATGAAGATGTTTCTGCAAAGCAGGCTGAAAGGGGCAGTTAGAGAGACAGGAGACCAACAGATGGGTGACACTGCCATCCTGTCGCAAAAACCAGGGAATGTCATCGGTTGCAGGAGGTCGGAAACACCAAACAGCTCAAAAGAGGTTGTCTGGGCTAAGTCCCAAGATGAGTCCATGAGACCTGGCTGTCAGCAGAGGCCTTCCCTGGCAACGCTGCCACTGTCACGTCACCCTCTTTTCTGTGTTCCTGGCACTGTTACTAGCTGAAATCATCCTGGATGTTTGTTGCTAGTGTGTATCTTCAGGATCTCCTTGGGAACAGTAACGTTGTCTTGGTCACCCTTGTATTGTCAGGCCCCAGAATAATGCCTGACAATAAGACATGGATGGATGTGCAGACATGTCCAAAGTCATTCAGCTAGTAAGTGGGGAGCAGCTTTTTTGGCAACAAGAGCCAATGTGTGTATGTTTTGAATAATAATTTTAAAGATTGTGCAATTTAAAAATTAATAAGTTAATCTTGGAAGATTACCTCTTGGGTGGTACTGTGAGAGCAGGTAAGAAAATAAAAACTGCACTTAAAGGGTCTTCAAAAAGTTTATGAAAATACAAACTACTGGAAATCTCTCCATGGATTTCAGACTTTTTGCACCAAAATAAACTGAACTTTTAAATTCGTTTTTTCCACAAGCCTTTTGACATAACCTTCATATACAGCTATTTATCTTTTAATTTGAAATGAATGATAGTGCTACATCACAAATTAAAACTTCTGGAATTTCTAAAAAAATTACAGAGAAGGAAATTGATGAAACTGTTAAGTGGCTTAACTAACAAGAAAGAATGGAAAGCATGGATTGACAGGAAGCTGTGTGTGTACTGGCTCTCACAGTCATTGCTGTGCATTGAGCTCCACGGAGACAGCGCCAGGGCAAGTGGGATCCAGATGGGTTCTGAGCAGCTCGATTCCTCACTCAGGAATAATACCTAACCATGGGCACAAATGCCAAGAAGCCAAGAGGCAAATCGTCACCCTGCACATTCTTTGTACAAGCTTGCGGGGAGGAGCACAAGAATCTCCACCCAGATGCTTCCATCCACTGCTCAGGACTGCTTAAAAAGAAGGAATGTGTCTACCTAGGAAAAAGGCAAATGATGCCCATTTCCAGGGGAGAAATGAGAACTTCCATCCCTCCTAAAGGGAGACAAAAAGAAATTCAAGGATTGCCATGCAGCAAGGAGGCCTCTTCCTTGTTCCCAAGGGTAGCCCCAACTCAGAGGAGAGCACCCAGCTTATCCATTGGCAACACTGCAGAGAGACAGGACAAGCAGCCTAATGGAAAGAGGCTGCTACAGTGCAAAGGAGCCTGCCGTGTACCACACCAAGAGCCTGATGCCAGCACCAAGGGAGTCGAAAAGCGGAAGGAACAAGGCCAAGACGATGGTGAGGAAGAGGAAGGTGATGATGTGATGAGTATGTTGGCTCTAATGAAGCTTTTTTTTTTTCTGTGTCAGAAACTATTTAACCCTGCTGTACACAACTCACTTCCTCATTCTGTCTGAAGAACTGGCTGGGGCATCTCCGGTTATAGGCATCTGGGAAGTAAACCAATAGATCAAAAATCTGTTATGTCTCTCCCTCTCCCTGTTATTCTGCCTCTCAAAGAAATAAATATTCTTCAAAAAAATTGTTTTTAAATGTAAAGTACTTGGGGCAGGTGATTGGCTCAGTTAATATGCCAATTAAGGTGTCCATCTCAATACTGAATGGGGGATTTGGATCTGATTCCTAGCTCTTGCACCTGATTTCAACTTCCTGCCAGTCAGACCTTGAGAGGCAGGGGCAGCTCAAGGAATTGGGTTTCTGCCACTCAAATGGAAGAGCTGGATTGAGTTCAGGCTCCAGGCTTTGGACAAGTCCAGTCAAATTTATGTATTAATATCAATCAATGGGACCCAGTGCAATAGCATAGTGGTTAAAGTCCTCGTCTTGAACATGCTGGGATCCCATATGGGCCCTGGTTTTAACCCCAGCAGCCCTGCTTGTGGCCTGAGAAATCAGTCGAGCACAGCCCAAAGCCTTGAAACCCTGTACCCGTGTGGGAGACCTGGAAGAGGCTCCTGGCTCCTGGGTTTGGATTGACTCAGCTCTGACCATTGCAGCCGTTTGGGGA